CTTACAACTTTTGTATTAGTTCGATGATGAAGTGAGGGGTCATGATGTATACGTGGGAAATATGTCCAGTTCTACTACTCTTGAAAGTTTGAAGGATGAGTTTACGTCTTACGGAACAGTGCTTCATGCAAAGATCGAACAAAAATCAGATGATGAGTTCTTTGGTTTTGTGAAATACGAAAATCCGGATCATCATTTTGGTGCGATTACTCATCTCAACGGTAAAGTAGTTGACGGTAAAGCGTGGACAGTCAGTCACGTGTACAAAATGGAGAACAAATTGGAGAGACATGATCGTATCAAAGAAGCAATGGACGAGGAACGTGTCTTGTATGTTAGTAACTTGTGCTGTCAAGTGAAAGATAGCGACTTGGAGAATGTTTTTGGTGGTTTTGGTGATGTGATTGCTTGCCATATTAGGAGGCATCATGATGGTAGAAGCAAAGGAGATGCATTTATTGAATATGCTACGAAAGAGTCAGTGGTTAAAGCAATGAGTGCCATGGAAGGGAAGAGCATTTGGGGAAGACGTATCTACTTGGGGTTAGGTAAGATCAATTGATGATTATAACCAAAAGAAACATTTAGATTTTGCAAATTTGACTTTGATGATCAAACATAGTAGGGTATATCGCTACATATGGATACGGTTCATTTCATATCTTTCTTTGTATATAAATAAAGGGAAAATTGGCTTGTATACCCTAAATCTTATTGAAAATTTGAAATCTATACCAAATTTGTTACACTTTGAAAAATACCCTATTTTAAGGGTTGAAATGACGTATATATCCTTACTTAACAAGATTAAGGTAGAAAAAAAATGATTTGATTTTCTTAATTTTTATTTAAAATTGATTTATAATATGTAAAACTAATATATCATCTATCTAATAATCTAATAAAATTTTTGTCATATATAATAGTATGTCAAGTCGATGAACATAAAAATTAAATCAATGGTTTAAATAAGCCGACAAAGTAAAAAGTCAATCAACCAATA